GTTACGTTACGTTACGTTACGTTACCGTTACGTTCCGTTACCGTTACCGTTACGTTACGTTACGTTACGTTACGTTACGTTACTTACTTACTTACTTACTTACTACGTACGTACGTACGTACGTACGTACGTACGTACGTACGTACTACTACTACTACTACTACTACTACTCTCTCACACACACACACACACACACACACACACACACACACACACACACACACACACACACACACACACACACACACACACACACACACACACACACACACACACACACACCTCCGCTGGTTCTGAACCCACGCTGTTGAATGGGCCAGCTCCACACTCAGAAGTACGCAGAGGCCTCCTCGTGTTTCTGTTTCCGTCACGCAGAGGGAGGCAGGAAGTGTTTTCCTAACTGAGCGAGGTTCAGTTCAACATTAACATCTTTCCATCCAGTATTTAAGAATACAGATTTTATTTGTGGTTTGAAAATGCATTCTGAGTTTTTGACAAACTTTGAGCATTACCCGATCGAAATCTACCCGTATCCATCAGCAATTTTCAGNTGTGTGCCTTGGCAGTCTCAGAAGTACGCAGAGACCTCCTCGTGTTTTCCTAAATGAGCGAGGTTCAGTTCAACATTAACATCTTTCCATCCAGTATTTAAGAATACAGATTTTATTTGTGGTTTGAAAATGCATTCTGACAGAGTTTTTGACAAACTTTGAGCATTACCCGATCGAAATCTACCCGTATCCATCAGCAATTTTCAGATAGCACAGTATACACACAGTTTACATTTACACAAAGATAGTCACTCTAACTGTCTTTACAACGATGTGCTAATTAGCGCCATCCTGTGGTGGGGGGTGGTATCTCTTCCAGTAGTGTGAGGTATTTCTGGTTAATGTCATGTAGTCAGAGTATCTACTCTCTTTAAAGGTTAGTGTGAGCAGAGGTCTCTGTCACACTGCCAGGGTCTCATTCAAATCAAGTGTTTCTCCCTTTTTATATTCCCTCCTGACTTTTCTGAGAGCAATTTGTGTTAAAAGAGGCTCAAAAAATGCCTTTTGTTTGTTTTCGGTGACAGTTTCGCTAACATTTCGTGTTTCTGTGTTCCTCCAGACCTGCCCGCCGCAGACGCTCAGTGGGCGTCGCCAACGCCACGCTTCCTAATTTCTTCCTCACCACAGCTCCCGGTCTGCAGTTCGGCTCCACCACAGCCAGCCCTGAAGACGAAGACGAGGAGGGGTCCAAGGTCTCAAACACTTTACATTTTACAAACAACACAAATACATTAAAGGTGGGGTAGGTAAGTTTGAGAAACCGGCTCGCGATACACTTTTTGTTATATTCCATGGAATGCTCTTAACATCCCGATAGCAATGAATATCTGAAGTGCTTTGACACAAAATCCATAAA